GCATCAGTTACTAAAGAAACACTCATGGCTGCTCTGGAATGAAGACCTGAAAAACTATGTAACACTGAGACCAGAAACCTCATCAGGAACAACAAGGCATGTTTACTGCGCTCATAAAATCAACTTCTCCAAAACGACCTTCTAGTGACCGCAAACTGTTTACTGCGCTCATAAATCAACTTCTCCAAAAGACTCTATGAGAGTGGTGATGCCCCCTGCTGGCCACTAGAAACAATGCAGGTTTAAGACCCTTAAGCTCTGTCCACTGATTACATCCTGACAATACGGACCCTTTTGCCCGTCCAAAGACAGAAGATCAGGTTTTTGGAAACAGGTGGATGCAAAACGGGACCAGTGAATTCAGGAAACATTTGTTTCTGCACCAAACTGTCCTTTCTGCAGCTCTTCTTAGAATCTGTTGAGCGTTTTTTTGTGATTTTTCTGCTCTCAAACTGACAAAAAGGGAGTGAAAGCAGCGTCTTTGTGCCGGTGATAAATCAGAGGATCGTCTGCAGTCGGGTTGCTGTGGAGGAACTCGTGTTTTCTTCCTCCACTCAAAGATTTCTCTCTTCTTCCGTCGTCTTTTCCTCTCTCTTTCACCTCCTCCCTCGCTTCTTTTCTCCATCGTCTCTCTCTCCTCTTTCATCTCCTCCTCTCTTTCACCTTCCTTCACCCTCTCTCTCCCTCTCCCTCTCTCCTTAATCTCTCCTCTCTGTCGGTGAAGCTGCTGACTCAGCTGGATGGCTGGATGGTATAAAGTGCTCTATCAGCTCAACCAGCAGCATCTCTCTCTTAAGTGAGTCGGGGGGTGGAGGGGGTGGGGTGGGGGGTTGTGGGGGGTACTCTGAGGACACTTTGGTCTCCCAGCGTCAGAGTACACTCCAGTACACGTATCCTCAGTAAATAACTACGGCAGTAAACCTCTCCTCAGTGTTGCTGACTGTACATCAGACAGTAAAAACTGCTGCGCTGATTTTATTATCACTTTTAACACACCGACCCGCCGGACGTTGTTAAAATACTAATTGTTTTTTGTTTAGGGGGTAATAAAACATAAGAATCCACTTAGATTAGTATTTCCTTTTTTGCGCTACCCATCTGACAATATGTACACACATACAGTATACACACACTGATCAGCCATTACATTATGTACATAATAAATACATACATAGTAGGCACACACATTATTAACATCTGAAGTGTATACTCTACTGTACTCTACTGTACCGTAATCTACCATAATCTGCTGTACTCTGCCGTACTCCACTCTACTGTACTCTGCCATTCTCTACATACTCTAACATACTCTACCGTACTCTAATGTACTCTACCGTACTCTACTGTACTCTGCTGCGTTACTCTCTGTCCTCCGGCTGTATCCGCTGCGGCCGTCCTCTGCGCCGCTGTTTTATTTCCTGTTTTATATGCAGCCCATTTGGCTGAAGAGGGTTTTTCACAGCCCACAGGTCTCTGATGGGTTCCCATAAAGACAGCCGGGTCGGCGCTGTCACTTCACCGCCGGATCGTTCTCTGTCACGCCAGCCCGCTGACCAGAGAGAGACCCCCGTTACACATCCACACCTCGTTAACTTTTAGAGGTCACACGCAGAAGACGGCAGCAGAACGAGCTGCTGCGGCTGCCATCACATTATTCTGATCTGCTCGGTGCAGATAAAGAGCTGCTGCGAGCCGCCACAGTTCACACTTTACAGTCGGCAAACAGCGGCTGCAGAGCGCCGTAACACCAACCATCAACTTTTACTCTGTTGCCCACGTGCTACTGACTTCTCCTCCTTTTATTGTTTGTTTTATTGATTATTGCACACTTTGGATCTGATTTCAGACTCACGTCTCTTTAACAGCGAACAGACGAGGACGTGAGCTTCACACAGCTGATTGATGAACAGTTGCTTCTTTAAGCTCAATAGAAAAAAAGGATTTTAACCTCTGAGTTTGTTCATAAATGGTTAGATGTAGAATATTTGTAAAGTCTGACAAAGACAAAACACATGATACATAACCAAAAACAAATGAACATTGTAAAACATAGCAGTAAATAACAAGACCGCACAATAGAAAGTAAAACCACGGTGAATAAAACGTTAAAAATACAATAATTCTCAGGCAGCTCTCTTTACTTCTGCCGCTGCAGATCTGTGAGTGTGAGGACAGATTTGCATTTCAGATGTGTTTACACATTTACACATCTGATCACACACGGACTGAGATACAGTTACTGTCCACTCACATTTGTGAAGTGGTTTGCTACAATAATGGCTCCGTAAGTACTTCATTATAATGCTGTCGTACCTTTTATTCTGAGATTTGCATATTGTGATTTCAATAATCTTTGGATTCATTGTGCAGCACTGATCCAGATCAGATATCCAGTTACCGCTCATAGTAAAAGCAGATTCACAGACTATTATCCAGATCACAACCTCGCAGTCTGAGAGCGACATGATCTGACTGTGAGTTCGAACCCGCAGCTGAACCGGCACGCCGCCCGCTGCGGCGCCCTGCAGCCTCCCAGAGAGAGTCTGAAGGAACCGACTCGTCATCTTCACTGTCCTCATCGCCTAATGGCAGAGATATTAAATGACAACGTCTTTAAATCTTATGAATATGAGGCCAGGCAGTCACGGCCAATACACATCAGTCTGCAGAACATCCTGTTAGCGTTATGAGCTCTCCGCCGCTGCCGCCGTCTGCTCCTCACCTCCATTATACAGCCTGTGATGGGCCGGCTTCCCGGGCCCAAATTAAAAGAAGAGGAGCAGAGTCCTTGACGATGAGGCTTCGTGGATGGAAATTAGCCTAAGTGTTGTCATTAATATTTCCCAGCGCGGGCTAATGTCTGCATCGTAATGTTAAGAACAGGATATCCCCTCAGTATCTGCTGAGGAAGGCTCTTTAGGGAGTTGGAGAAAACCTTTATGTGTTCAGAGATGAAGGCTAATGTCCAAAGTAAGTTTTAGATTTAGTGCGAGCTTCTGTTTTACACTTGAAGTTCTTCTCTGACAGCAGGCAGCTCGAAGCTTCGGGAAGCTTTTCACCGACCCGATAATCAGGTGTCCAAAGAAATCTAAAAGCCCACCGATCAGCTGCACTGATGAGACAGAACGAGCTTCTGCTTGTCTCTGATCTCCTCTGGCTCCACGTCAAAGTCAGGTTCTTCCTGTTTTTCACATTTCATTTAAAGTATTTGTAAGAAGAAGAAAAGAGGAAGAATCAATCAGTTCATCAGATCAGTTAATCACAACTTCACAGACCTTCTGCTGTTTGTTGCATTATCCTGTTTAAATAAATCTACACTGTAAAAAAAATTATATAATGATAGTAAAACTAATATTTCAGCAGCTGGGGCAGCAAAAAAAAAATATTGTGAATGTTAAAAGTTCTAGAACTGTAATCAAAGCTGCTTATACACTGGATAAACAACATTTATTCAAACATGTCCCATCAGTTAATATCAAGATATCTGTCAGTTAAAAAACAAATACATGTATTTATTTATTTTGGGGTTTCTTTATTGACTATGAAAACAAAAAAAACAAAAGCTCTGTGTACGCTCAGGAAGATTGTTTTTTTTCTTTAAAACCAAAAAGACAAACGACAAAACAAATTTAAAAGCGGTTTAGTTCCATTTTTTCTTCGTTCCTTTTTATTCCTTTGTTCATTTTTCCTCTTTGAACTGAAGATTGAAGAACGGCAGACACCGACATAAAGAGGATGAACTCCTTCTTGCTGCTGTGACCTTTGACCTTCCTCTCTGTTGATTCATGTCTGTCGGCCGTTTCAGGGTTTCGGTGACGGCTCCGTCCTGCCAGAAGACCTTCGACAACAAGAAGAGGAGGAGGACGAAGAGGAGCCGGAGCTGATCCTGGATGGAGGTCTGCCTCGCTACACCTCCTTCTCTCTGACCTCTGACCTCCTGCCTGTGGAGGAGGGCAGGGAGATGGCTGTGGACGAGGAGGTGGAGGTGGAGATGGAGATGGAGAAGGAGAAGGAGAAGGAGGAGGAGGAGGTAAAAGTGGAGGAGAGCATGGGGTCCCTCCCCAGGAAACCTCCTCCGTCGTGGGAGGAGTGGAAGCTCAGCTCCTCCAGCCGGGGCAGAGGAGCAGAGGAGGTCAGACTCACCACTCGGCTCCAAACACTGTTTCCACCACAGAGGGAGGAAGTATTCAGATCTTTCCCTGCAGTAAAAGTACCCCAGTGTAAAAACAGTAAACAGTGACTGTACTACTGTTATAAATGATATGGTTAAACAGGAAGGAGCAGGATTCCCAGAAGAATTGTAACGTTAGCGACAGAGAGCAGTGGAAAACGTAAAAGCAGTGTAATCCCTCACTTTCCCGGTTGGCTTTTATTTTGAAATATTTGAAGTGTCAGTGACAGCAGTCAAAAACAGGTCAAACTAGAGGTGACTGGAATTAACAAGTGAGTATTTATTAAGCAGAGCCATTAAAAGACATCCTGAATATTTGTACTATAAAATCCAGCGTTCACACATCAGACAGGAACCTCTCACTGATATAATCCAGTGATTTCAGCACTGACTGTTTCATTCTTTAATTTTATCTGCTGTTTCTGTGAGTTTCACTGATAGTTTTCTCCTTTCAGACCTGGAGGAGAGAGAATCAGGAGGAGGACCTGCAGAGATCAGACCACGAAAGCATCGTGTCTGTAGGAAACCTGGTTCTGGGTGGGAAA